TCCAAGGAAGGAGTTGCGGTAGATCCCTCTAAGGTGGAAGCGGTGATGGAGTGGGCAGTACCAAAGTCGGTGACAGAGATCCAAAGTTTCCTTGGACTAGCAGGATACTATCGGAAGTTTATAGAAGGGTTCTCGAAACTAGCTTTTCCTTTGACTAAGCTGACCAGAAAAGGAGAACCTTTTGTGTGGACAGTCCGGTGTGAAGAGAGCTTCCAGGAGTTGAAGCGAAAACTAACTTCGGCACCAGTGTTAAGGCTGCCTTGCTCAGAAACGAACTTCAATGAGTATTGTGATGCTTCAAAACAAGGTTTGGGTTGTGTGTTAATGCAAGAAGGGAAAGTGGTTGCTTATGCTTCGAGGCAATTGAGACCTCATGAACAAAACTACCATACTCATGATTTGGAATTAGTAGTGGTAGTATTTGCTTTAAGAATTTGGAGGCACTACCTTTATGGTGTGTGGTTTGAAGTCTTCAGCGACCAAAAAAATTTAAAATACCTATTTGATCAGAAGGAGTTGAATATGAGACAAAGAAGATGGATGGAATTTTTGAAAGATTATGACTTTAGCCTACAATATCACCCTAGTAAAGCTAATGTGGTAGCGAATGCATTGAGTCGTAAATCGTTGCATATGTCTGCCCTAATGGTGCATGAAATGAAAATTATCGAGGATTTTAGGAATTTGAACCTAGCAGTAGAAATGAAGCCGAAGAGTGTAGTGTTGGGAATGCTCAAAGTGACTAATGAGTTATTTGATCAAATTAAAACTATGCAGTTGCTTGATGATGAGCTACAGGCTAAGAGAGCCTTGATAGGTGACGACAAGGGGAAAGACCTTCGGAGGGATTCTAACGGTTTGTTGAGATACAAAGGAATGATTTGTATGCCACACGACGCAGAGTTGAGAAGAGATATTATAGATGAGGCGCACAAGAGTAAGATTAGCATTCACATGGGGACAACAAATATGTATCAAGATTTGAGGAAGATGTTTTGGTGGTTTGGGATGAAAAAAGATGTAGCTCAGTACGTGTCTGGTTGCTTGACTTGTCAGAAAGCTAAGATTGAGCATCAGCGGCAGGCGGGGGAACTCCAGTCATTAAAGATTACAGTATGGAAATGGAACAATATCTTCACGGACTTTGTTTCCGGTTTTCCGAGAACATAGAAGGGTTATGATTCGATTTGGGTCATTGTGGACCGATTGACTAAGTCTGCACATTTTCTACCGGTTAATGTAAGGTATTCATTGGAGAGGTTAGCTGAGTTGTACATAAAGGAAATAGTGAGGTTGCATGGGATTCCAGCGAGTATCGTCTCAGATAGAGATCCTTGTTTTACTTCGAATTTCTGGAATGGCTTACAATCTGCCTTGGGTACTAAGTTGCTCGAGTCTCACATTTAATTGTGTTGGTCTAGCTAAACCTCATAGAAAATGGTGAACCCTCCAAGTTCATGGCAGAGGCAAACTGATCCATTAGCCCATATATGGTCCAACGATGGTTGAAGGTCTGCTGCTGCATAATGGGCTCATCATTGGCCAGGCTCCGAGCATAAAAGTGTTGAGCTGTAAAAGAAGCAGTTGGGCTTCCTAAGAGGCAAGGTGGCCTATGAGCGTGGCTCTAGTGGTCACTTCGAGGATCATCCTAGGTCCGACATTGAGCCTTGACTCCCTTATCTAGATAGTGCTCCTGGATGTAGGCCACGTCGATTGGCCAGGCAAACTAATCCATTAACCCATAGACCATATCGGTGCAACGATGGTGAAGGTCTGCTGCATAATGGGCTCATTATTGGCCAGGCTCCGAGCATTAAAGTGTTGAGCTGTAAAAGAAGCAGTTGGGCTTCCTAAGAGGCAAGGGGGCCTATGAGCGTGGATCTAGTGGTCGCTTCGAGGATCATCCTAGGTCCGACATTGAGCTTCGACCCCTTTATCTAGACAATGCTCCTGGATGTAGGCCACGTCGATGGGTTCCTTCAAATGGGCAACAACACCATTTTTCTAACTGGAAAATTTGTATTGAAATTACCGAACAGTGCCACAAACAAGTATAAGATAAGGGGTTTGTTGTATACACAAAGACTTGTTAAATCTAACCTTTCAATAATCAGATTGCTATCCTAAGATGGTTTCTAATGGGTTTTGGTGATTTGTGTTGTTAAAGCGTGAAATTTCTATAATTAAAGATGCTATAACTTTGATGTGGATTGAGCTCCTATTCATTTCCATAACTTCAGAACTAATCAAACAAACAATTCAAGAAGGACTCTTATACAATGATGAACCTCAATATAACTAAAATCTAATGTGTTAGTCAATTTAGAAAATTATGCAATAAAGCTCTATGTTTAGCATCTTTACGCACAAGATTAAGATTTATGACCTATATAATGTTGGTGCAGCGGAAGCGATCATTGCGCAACATTGGTGACAAAGCAATCAAATAATGCATAGAATAAATAGAAGAGAAGAAACAAAGAATTTGATAACGGGGTTCGGCCAATTGTGTCTACGTCCCCAGGAGCGCTGAGCGGCTACCAAGATATTATTAGAGAATAAGGATTACAAACCCTATCACACCCATGGGCCCAACTGCTCATGAAGTGTTTCTGTTTGGTGCTTATATCTGGTGCACATTACAACAAGGGACTTGAGTCCAATATATAACATTGGTTACTCTACTCTATTCCAATCCTAGGCGATGTGTGACTAATCTAATAACATATTTCAAGCATCCTCAACAATCTCCACCTTGATTGAAATAGACGAATATCTCGCTCCTTAGGAAATCTACACAAGATTCTCCACCTTATCGAATATATGCCTCCACCTTGCTCAATGCATAATTCTCTTTAACAAATTGCTCCCCTTTAGCATAAACTAAGTATCCTTGCCAAACTTTTAGTGCAGCTTTCCATTCCGCTATCCAATGGAACACGCCGCCTAGCCACCTATTGCTAGGAAGTCTTTTGATATATGGAACCTCAATACACAAAAATTCACCAACAACCGTCCTCTTCAATACTCAGTCAAGCTGAACATTGGAGCTTCATTGGAAAGCCTCAACCGCTACCACCATTGTCTAGCCCGACAATCATAGTTCAAAAGAACTATCATACTCCACCATAAGGAGTATACTCACAATGCACACCTTGCGTCAATGCTAACTAATGCCCGTGTCACATCCTTGCGTCCAAGCCAATGCCCATGTCACACCTTGCATCTCTTCCAATGCCCGTATTATAACTTGCATCAAAGCCAATGCCCATGTTACACCCTGCATCAAAGTCAACCAGCACCTGTCTTAGGGTCAAACTCAACACCTGAGTCCCTATCTCCACCTTGATCCTAATCCAATACATGGACTTCTAGGATTCTGGATCAACACATATATCGCCCCCACCATAGTTCCGCCATATTTTCTTCTCCTTCAACTCATCTCATTTATTCTTGCATAGTACATTTGACGCATCTTGTTTAACGAACATGCCTTCACCCCCTTTTGCAATTATCTAGCACCTGGGTTAAGAGCCATCTACCAATTGACTCTGATACCAATTGTTGGTGCAGCGGAAGCGATCATTGCGCAGCGTTGGTCACAAAGCAATCAAATAATGCATAGAATAAATAGAAGAGAAGAAACAAAGAATTTGGTAACGGGGTTTGGCCAATTGTGCCTACGTCCCCGGGAGCGCTGAGCGACTACTAAGATATTATTTGAGAATAAGGATTACAAACCCTATCACACCCATGGGTCCAACTGCCCTTGAGGTGTTTCTGTTTGATGCTTATATCTGGTTCACATTACAACAAGGGACCTGAGTCCAATATATAACATTGGTTACTATACTCTATTTCAATACTAGGCAATGTGAGACTAATCTAATAACATATTTCAAGCATCTTCAACATATAACATACCTAAAGTGTATTAGTCGCCAATTTCTTCGTCTATACTAATACTTTATTAAAATAGCTCTATGTCTAGCAACTAGATTTATATAATTAAGTGATATGAAGCGTTAAACATACTTCTACGTCTAGTAGTGTACACCAACAAGTTTGTGAGTCATCCTATGCTTATATGAATTTATGTCTTGCAATCATATGAACACATACATGTATGCAACAATTAAGCATAAAATTACATCTAACATTATCCAAAAAGGTTGAATTACATGTTTTAGACTATTGAAATAAGCATTAAACACTGCAAAGTAATTCATAAAAATCAATCATACCCTAAAATCTTACATGCAAGCATTTGAAGGAAATCAAGATGAATATATTCACATGCAGCAATAGCAAAATGCAATGTTTGTAAGACTCCATTGTCACGGTGTTTTGTGTACAAGTTAACACTAAATTTTACCATTGCTCGTCCTAGCGATGGGTGTTTATCTCTTTGACTAAAAAATCGTTATTTTCTCGTGAGAAGATGAACAATGAACAGATTCCAAACGAACAAGTTCAAACTTGATTGAAAAGGATCTTTCTGATTCTCGAAGAATGGGGGGTTGGAGTTTTTCGACTTTCAGTTTTGTTCCATTGCTTTTGTGAGAGTTTCTGTGTATAGATGACCATATGTCATCATAGCATCAAATTCCTTTCCATTCATGGCAAGTAAAGTAGCAACTTTAAAATATAGTCCTTTGAGTATTGTTCTACCTGCTAGATTCTGTCCACTCTTAAAGAATGCATTAATGTACTTGGTAAGTTGTCATATGATCATAACGAGTAAAGATTATCTCCATTAATGGATAGAGAAATACTACAATAAAAAAGAAAAACATAACACGATAAAACATTTTTATCATTTTATATATAATGAAATAACACTTTTACCATTAAAAATACAAGTAAAATCAAATATTCGTTTCTTCATTTTTATCATAACTTCCTCCACAATCATATGCTTGAATCCATTTTAATTTTACAAGACCATCAACCCAATATAAGGCTTAAGGCAAACACTACAGAGAATGTCATCATAAGGATCATTTTGCTAAGATTGTGAGACATTATCACGTAACTACATGTAAGAGGTCATCCATTTTTGAAATTGGTGACCCTCTCACATGCAGTTGATTGTTTTTCATTAATCTTGAAATCGAAGAACTCCAAAATATGGTAAGTCTTTACGGAAGAAAGCATACTCCTTTTGTCCACAAATTGCATGTCGATTAATAGCTAACTAGTCGTCTATGTTGGTTCGCCGGACAATCCAAAGTGTGTGCATATTCATGCATTGTCTCAGTTTATTGTTCTGGAAAAAAGTGATAACTTTTAGTGAGATATATAACTAAATTATGCCAAAGTTGGCATAATGAGGAAATACCAAAATAATGTTTCAACATCCATGCATCGGGAATATCATTATCCATTAGGAATATCACTTTATGCCACAAATCCTACTACGTGTTTGGAGAAAAAAAAAATATTTATTAATGGAGAGACAAATGCTTGTTTCCATCATGTTTTTAATGACAAAATGTGATTTCATAGTAAATAAAATGATAAAAATATCATTACATATTATCTTCTGTTGGGAAGTAAGTCTCACATCGCCTCATTGTTTCGGGAATTGTTTAAATACCTGTTGGGCTATTCCTCTCATTGCCAATTAGTTTTGAGATGGAACCTTAACATGGTATCAGAGTCGGATCCCAAATTCTTTCCGGTTGTTATGGGTCAAAAGATGTCATTTAGTTATGGGTCAAAGGTAACCATTCGCCTGGTCCGACAGGCTTATGTGGATGGGGCATGTTAGTAAGTAAGTCTCATTGTTTCGGGAATGGTTTAAATACCTGTTGGGCTACTCCTCTCATTGTCAATTGGTTTTGAGATGCAACATTTCTGTTTATAATTGTATAACACCTGTCTCTCTATTAATTGAGAGGATTCTTCCTCATGTTTGGAATATCAATGAGTCAGGAATATCACCAGCTCCACGCTATGCATGTCTTACACTAATATATTACACACTAATTTTTTTTTTAAATATTGAGGATATTCGTTCAATGATGAGTCTTACAACTAAGAAGATTGGAAGTGGATACTCTCAAGTTTTTATGATATGATTTCATACTTTATTTTTAGACATCACTTTTAAAATGAAAATATATCACACTATATAATTAAATTTTTGATATTCTAACCTTGAAAAGCATAAAAGTATGAACTAAAAGTGAATACATGCATTATTGTAAGTGACATATGAGATATGAACGGTAAATTACATGCATTATTATTACTACACAAAATTCATGTGAACACATTATTAGCACTACTCAATGTAAGAAATTTTGGGTCACACATATAATGTTTAAATGTGTTTAGGGTCATTATTATAAGTAGCCAAATTAAAGTAATCTACTTCAAGTAAGGTTCATGGCTATAGACATGATTAACATGGAAATTATTGTGTAGATACCTAAAGTCTTATTTATATTTTATGATTGGCAAAATTGGAAATAAGAAAATCAAGTGGCATCACCCTTCATGGAAGGGTATGCACTTTTTATAAATAAGGGTTATGGTCCCCAATTGTTTCCACTACAACACAAAAACAAAATGACTATTCTCTTCATCCTATTAGAGGAGAAACTTATGCTAAGGGTGGTCTACAATTGGAAGACCAACAAACCTACATGTTCTACTACGAACATGCATTTGCATACAATGATAAAGGAGGGCATTAGGATACGAGGAGATGAAGTTGATGGATACGTGACAAAGAATGGTATAAGGTTCATTCACTATATTCCTCTCCTCTCTTCCTTCTTTTCTTTCTTTTTTTCTCTCTGCCCGCTGCACCTCCACCTTCCTCCCTTCCTCTTCTTTAGTTTAGGTATTTATATATTTAGGGGGCCTTAAGAGTAGGGTTAAGGTTAGGGTTGATGGGTCATCCTAAGCTCAATTGCCACCATTTTTTTACCCTACACTATTCATTATTTACTTATCATTATTTTTATTTTTATTTTAAAATTTAAAATACTCCGGTCAAAATTGGGTGTTTACAGTTGCCTCTCTTTACTTATTTCTCAGTAGATAACAAGAGTAACAAAAGTTATTCAAGTTATCACAGTGAGAAAGAAGTGAAGATAAAAAAAGACCAAATTTTGATCGGGAAGTAACACAAGGTTGAAAAACCTCTAACATACGCAGAAAACGTAGGCTCGAGCTTAGTGGTAAAAGAGATAACGAGTGTCAAGTGTGATACTTCTTACTGATATAAGTGAAACCACTAGAGGGTCAAAGATATAAAAATGAGACCAATGGGGTCGAGGGCACAACACGAGACCATCAGGGGTCTGGGTGCAAGGAGGACCACAAGAACGCACGGATAGGGAGGAACTCTGGATCAAAATATAAAATGAGACCACGGAAGGGTCAAAATCACAACAAGAAACAACTAGGGGGCCTAGGTGCAAGGAGGACCACGGGAACAGAAGGATAGCGAGGAACTCTGGGTCAAAAGTAAATGAGACCATGGAAGGGTCAAAAGCACAACACGAGACCTCTGGGGGGTCTGGGTGCAAGGAGGACCACGGGAACGGATGGATAACGAGGAACTCTGGGTCAAAAGATTAAATAAGACCACGAAAGGGTCGAGGGCACAACACAAGACCACTGGGGGGGTCTCAGTGCAAGGAGAATCACGGGAACACACGTATAGCGAGGAACTATGGGTCAAAAGATTAAATAAGACTACAGAAGGGTTGAGAGCACAACACGAGACCACTAGGGGGTCTAGGTGCAAGGAGGACCACGGGAACGCACGGATAGCGAGGAACTCTGGGTCAAAAGAATAAATAAGACAACAGAAGGGTCGACGACACAACACGAGACCATTGGGGGGTCTGGGTGTAAGGAGGACCATGAGAGCGCACAGATAGCGAGGAACTCTGGGTCAAAAGATTAAATAAGACAACGGAAGGGTCGACGACATAACACAAGACCACTATAGGGTCTGGGTGCAAGGAGGACCACGGGAACACACGGATAGCGAGGAACTCTGGGTCAAAATATAAAATAAGACCACAGAATGGTCAAAAGCACAACACGAGACCACTATGATAGCAAGGAACTCTAGGTCAAAAGTAAATAAGACAACGGAAGGGTCAAGGGCACAACACGAGACCACTGAGGGGTCTGGATGCAAGGAGGACCACGGAAACGCACAGATAGCGAGGAAATATGGGTCAAAAAATTAAATAAGATCACGAAAGGGTCAAAAGCACAACACGAGACCACTGGGGGTCTAGGTGCAAGGAGGACCACGGGAACGTACGAATAGCGAGGAACTCTGGGTCAAAAGATTAAATAAGACCACGGAAGGGTCAATGGCACAAAACAAGACCACTTCAGGGTCTGGGTGCAAGGAGGACCACGGGAACACACGGATAGCGAGGAACTCTGGGTCAAAAAGATTAAATAAGACCACAGAAGGGTCAAAGGCACAACACGAGACCACTGGAGGTCTGGGTGCAAAGAGGACCACAGAAATGCACGGATAGCGAGAAACTCTGGGTCAAAAGATGATAAGACCACAAAATGGTCAAAAGCACAACATGAGACCACTAGGGGGCATGGGTGCAAGGAGGACCACAGGAACGCACGGATAGCGAGGAACTCTGGGTCAAAATATAAAATAAGACCATGAAAGGGTCAAAGGCACAACACGAGACCACTGAGGGTCTGGGTGCAAGGAGGACCACAGTGACGCACGAATAGCGAGGAACTCTGGGTCAAAGGTTTAAATAAGACTACGGAATGGTCAAGGGCACAACACGAGACCACTAGGGGGTCATAGTGCAAGGAGGACCACGAGAACTCACTAATAACGAGGAACTCTAGGTCAAAAACAAATGCAACCGTTGTGGGTCAAACTATGGTCATGCATGCATATGATGGTGTGAATGCAAATGATGCATGAATAATGCGAAGATGTTTGTGAAGATGCATGTATAATGTGATACACATATGCGAACAACTTAATTATTATTATAAAGTTTGATTGATTTGAAACCATAATGCTTCCTCGGTAGACAACTACTAATCGAACTGAGACGAATCACATTTTCTTCCCTTCTTTTAGGCCTTGGAATATGTTTGTGCATTGACTTCCACTCTTATTAAAAGATTGTCATTATTTCTCCATCGATACTAACATTGATACTTAGTTGCAATGAGTTTTGTTAGTGCGAACCACTAGTGAAAAGTCATCACAAAACTTATCTGATTATCCACTTCGAACATTACATTTATATAACTTGAGACTTTTCTAAGTGGACATGCACACACAAATGTATAGTAGGGAGATGAATAAATTTTATTTTTAATGATATTCAAAGAATCTTAATGGGAAGATTCATGGATATTTGTGTCACGAGAGGTATTAGATCTTACAAAAATTTGCAAAAAATTTGCCACACTATAAGGTAATTGCTTATCTATCAATTGATATTCCAAGACAACTAGATAACTTAACCATTGCATCTAGCTTGTTCGAAACTCCAAAGAACTTCATTTTCATCTCATAATGCCCGATACTTCTAAAATTCCAAACTGGTGTGCAGCCGTATGCAGGATTCTGCCTCACCCAAATGGTAGTACACCTTTAAGAGAATTGCCTTTTAATTGCCCTAACTTTTGTTTAGATCGCCCTTTCGGGTTTTCAACCTAATAGACTTTTGCTCATACCCCAATTTTTTGCTTAGGTCGCCCTTTTGGGTTTTCGACCTAACAAGCTTTTCTTTATACCCTAATTTTTGCTTAGGTCGCCCTTATGAGTTTTCAACCTAATGGGTTTTTTGTTCATACCCTAATTTTTGCTTAGGGCCCTTTGGGTTTTCAACCTAACGGGTCTTTTATTTATTTATTGTTTTCTCTCTTTTTAGGCATAGAACCTCTTGGTAGCATCTATGTCTACAAGTCTAGGTAAAAAAATCACTCCATATCTTACAAAATAGTATCAGTTACAAAATTTTGCAAAAACTTTTGCCCCAATATATGGTAATTTCTCATTCATCAATAACTCATCGAGATAGCTGAATAACTGGACCATTGCGTCAGCTTTATTTGATTCTTCCTAGAACAACTTACTTTGTCCCACATTGCTCGAAACTTCTATGATTCTCACTTGTCACCCATACACATGGAGGATTTGGGCTTGCTTTAAGAGTAGTAGACACGCAAGATAAATAATGCATTTTCATTGCCCTAACTTTTGCTTAGGTCGCCCTTTCAGATTTTCACCCTAAC